GAAAGCACATGAGCCGCACAATCACCCAACGACAGTTCGCCGCCATCGACCCCTCCCTTGTAGCAGTTCGAAGCCATTGGGCCAGCCTGCATACGATCCGTGGTCCCGCATTCGAGCCACGACTGTAGACGTGGTCGGCCTGCTCTCATTCGATCTCTCCACATAGCTTCCTTCGCTTCCCCACGCGACTTCTTCCACCTCGCTCTTCAGTTTCTCCCTCCATTTCCAGCTTGAGCCCCGAGAGCTGCTGGTGCTTGCAGTGCAGCATACATACGGCTCCAGCGAAACAGAAGCTCGTCTTCCCAAGCTGGTTCTCGACGGGCAAACCAGACCATTTTGCAACCCAGTGTCGTTATCTCCTTACCGCCACGCCGTCAATCGACTTTAACACGGCTCGTGCCTTTTAGCTAGGTCCGTTTTAACTTCTCTCTGTCATCCTTATCCCTACCTCCTACCTCCTTCCCCATTTCTTGTCTTCTCATTCTTCAATCTCACTGTTGCTGGTCTTCTTTCCCGCACATACAACCCTATGAAAGACGTCTGCGGGGTTGGAGGGGGATCTCACGTTGTTGTTATGAGTTGACCGTAGATGAATATTGTTTTTCTGGCCATCTCTTGCACTACGCTCACCCACTCTAATTCGGTGTAAACCAATTCGCCTGATTTCACAGCTAAGATGTTTCCCAGAAGTTATCCCTACAGTGGCAAGTCTATTTTCAGGATGGATCCTGATTGCGCGATATGCCACGCTCCGGCCAATATGGCGTGCGAGTGTGAGGCTAAGGGCCTTGACGTTGCTGTCAAACAAGCCGAGGATCGCATGATGCGGTCGATATACAATGAAATACGGTACATAACTTTGCCCTTCCCTTACGCCACGAGGCAGTTCTGACTATCAATTCATAGTTCCTGGGTCCGAGGACATGCACAAGACTACATACTTGAATACTTCCGCCTCCTAACTGATCAACGAAAAACTGCCCATGCTGCGCATATGGACCGAATTACTGCCCACGCCTATCACTACTACCACGCACCGCCTCATCCGACACAAGTTGCTGAAGCGCAAGCGTCCCTCAAACGCGGCATTGACGAAGACTGGCAAGCGAGCGTACAGCGGTATCCTGAAGTTTTGGAATATTTCTTTGGACTTGTTGAACTCACATTACCGGCGGAGGATGAGCCGGCTGTAAAGGATCCGCCATTGGGCTCGTTATCAAACTCGCGAAAAGTGAATCGGCGAAGCGGTACTGCCCCTCCCGGTGCCTCTGCTGTAGTAGCACCTCCAGGATATCGTGGTGATCCAAGCCAGATGCATCCACAGGAGCCTCCCATGCCCAGACCCGATCGCCGAACTCCCGGCCCTCAAATGAGGCGGCCTAACTTTGGGGCTATCCCGCCGCCAATGCCGGGTGCCTATAATTTCCCTCCTCCATATTAAGCGACTACAAATGGCCAATACGTTAATTGTGAGCATCTATCCAGGTGCTGAGTATGCTACAAAAATCCATATTACGATTTCTACGAACATCACGACCATTGCATAACTGGGGCATGGAGAATTACCGGCCTAGCAGACAACGGTGGCACCATTACTGGGGGTTTTGAAGTTTGGGCTGACAATGCCATTTGTGTTTGAGTAGAAGCTTTCCCGTCGGGCATATTTTCATTGGAGTAACTGGGGTTAACAAAGTTTGGCGATTTTGTTCTGTATCTGAAATTACAAATACCACGCCACTGAAGGCAAAATTATGAACGACACCACAACTTCCTTTGCCTTTTCGATATGCATCACGGCGAACAAAGCCATATCTTGGTTGGACGTGTGGGAGACGGTGCGAAAGAGGGGCACGCATCCGAAGCAGTCAAGGTCATGGCGATAGGTCGAAGGGTGTGAGCTAGGTTATGCAAGCTCATGTCGGCGTTTTCAACACATCATCTGCTGCAGTAAGACGACACTCTACTGTGCATACATCGTTACATGACCAGGTCTTGGGCGAATGCATACACGCATGCACGCAACAGGAAAAACAAGCAGAAAAGTGTAGACCTAAAGAGGCCCAGCAATATATGCCCGACCCCAGGCTCAGCCCAACTAAAACTTCGATGCAGGTTTACATGAGCTCATCATGTCTGAGCAAATCTGTCAATGAGCGGCAATAAGCAATTGACCCGACCCTACCTAGGGTTTAGATCTACAGGGAACCCGATAACCGAGTCTCATGTCACGTAACTCTAAATAAGAAAAGATGCAATGCATCACGAGATTGAACCAACTTTTTGTCATTTTCCTTGCGCATGACTTTAATAAGAAACTGCGCCTAATTACAAAAACAGCACAAAAAAGCGCTTTTTAGATTCGAGCATGTGGCGTTGAAAGAGGGGGAGAAGGGATGTATGAAGCAGGAAGTAACTCAGGCAATAAAGTTGGTGGGCAAGACAACTTTGAATAACGTTTGATATAAGCTCAACGTTTGATTCGGCATGCCGAGTGGGCGCCGGAGGGATCCAACAGATTTCGGAAAGGACGAGGACAATAAGATCAACTGGGGCGAGGTAGGCAGCGCGCAGGGGGAAGTTGTAAGCCCAAGGAGCATCGACGGTATGGGATATTACCGACGAGCAATCGATATTGCGATAAGAAGGAAGTTTACGACTCCTGCTTGTCAGCAATAGAAGTCTCCTTCAGGTCAGCAGTGGTCTGCTCGACCTTGTCGCCATTAGCCTCGGCGGCCTCGAGTTCGGCGATCTCCTTCTTAGCCTTCTCAATGTTCTGAGGTAGTAATTAGCATCGTCTCTTCACAGGCGCTTTACGAGATTGGTGACTTACACGCTGTGTCTGGGCCTCCTGGTCGTTCTTCCAGAAATCGAGCTTGGCACGGACCTTCTCAGCCACAGCAGGGATATCGGCAGCACTCATGGGAGGGTCGATACCCATGGCGGCACAGTCCTCAACCACAGCTGGGGGAACGTTGAACTTGTTCGATGAGCCGCCGTGAGCAGTTTTCTTGCCCTTCTTGCCCTTCTTCACCGCAGGCGCGTACTCCTCATCACGGTCCTCCTTGCGAAGGAGTTTGGTGCCCTTGAGGCCAGACTCGTCAACGCTTCGTTGGGCCTGAGCACCGAGACCTGTATCGGCCATCAGAGGGCCCTTCTCAACCTTGTGGTTAGGATCGAGGAATTGGAGCAGGCTGTTGGCGCGGCGGATCTCGTCTAGGTAGGCAGGGTCGCTGGCATCACCCAGACGACGCTCAGCCTCAGCCTTCTTTCGCTCTTGGTGGTAGCGCTCCTGCTCAGCCCTTTGCTTCTCACGGTAGCGCTCCCGAGCTTCACGGTCGTAGGCCTGATATGCCTTCTTCTGTCCGTAATAGTCATCCTTGAGCTTACGGATAGCGGTGTACTTTTCCTGCTGTTCGGCCTGGAGCTTGGAGCGCTCATCACGGAGACTGGAAAGACCCTTGTAAGCTTCGTCCTGCTCGGCCTTGATAGCATCGATCTCGGCCTGAATCTTGTTATACTGGTCGGAGAGAGCCTTTTGCTCAGGGTCGTCCATGCTATCCTTGATCTCCTTAATCTTGGCGCGGAGGTCATCGATCTGCTTCTGGGAATCGTCAAGCTGTCCGAAGTTCTTGCGCATCTTGCGGAGACTGGAGATGTCTGATAAGGCCTTCTTTTCGTCTACCAGCTTCATGGTGCCGGAGTTGACCTGCTTGTCCAGACTCGCAATCTGGCGGTCGAGGTCCTCGAGGCTCTTGAAGGGAACCTTGCTCTTCGCAGCCTTTTGCTCGTTGATTCGGCTTCGAACTTGCTCATCGAGACGCTTGATCTGGTCGAGCTTAGTAGAACGGGCGTTCTTTCCGCCAGCCTGCTTCTGTCGAATCTCGTTGGCCTGAGCAATGAGCTCTTGTCGTCGCTTTTGGGTAGGGTTAGGCTGGTCCTTGTTCTTGTTGGGCATAGCAATCTCGATCTTAGCCTTGACAGCGGCCTAGAAGAGTATAATTGTTAGTTGATGTTGACTCAAATAGTTCCAGCTCGTGAGGCCACGGATGTGGAATCTGGGTCGATCCAAGACACATTTTCAAAAGGAGGGGAATTCAGCGAGATCTTACCAGACGGTCCATTGAAGCCTTATGCTCCTTCTCAGCCTTTGCGAGTTCCTGCTTAAAGAGATTCTCATCGGGCTTGGCAGGTCGAACATTAGCTTGCTTGTCGGCCTTGTCCGCCACAGGAGCGGGAGAGGTTGCGGTTTCGGCCATTGCGATGAGAGGAGAATACAAAGACGAGAACCAAGATGAGTCAAGTGGAAGACAAGAAACCAGGAGCGAAATTGCTCGAGGATAAGTGAAAGTGCGAGGCTTAAATTGAGCAAAGTTCGACACGTGTTGTCGAAAAGGAGGGAAAAAAAGACGACCCCAGAATAAAGCTAAGGTAAGGTATAGGTAAGTTTGGTGCGCTGCAGTGCAAATGCAGTCTCGGCCAGTGGAATTCTATCACCTTCTGCTTCTGAGGTAAAGTTCTGGACCCGTGTCTCTTGCTGTAAATTCTCGGGGCAGGCCCGTGCGCCCCTGAGCTGTCTCTCTTTCCATTGTCTCGCTCAGTATTACAGGCAACTCACTCTCCGGGCTCTCTTTTTGCTCCTTCTACAGTAGGGGTGCCCCTCCCTTGGGACTCGGGTCCTTCCCCTAGCGTTCGCTGGAAGGACCACTGAGCTTCACTGGCGCGTCCCAGGTCCAGGGGTTCGTTCCCGCCCCACCTTCCATGATCAGACTTGTCCTCTCGCGGTGGCTGTTGCAGGGATAAGTGGCGGTGCGTGGCGTCTAGCAGAATCACATGACCCTTTCAGTCCTCTGACCCGCTCAAAGAAGTTTGGACTTTTGCGGCGACGACGCAAGGCTGAACGAAACATTTTTGAGGACGCTCGCGATTTCAACCTTTTCTTTCCGCCTTTGTTATCTCGACCACCAACACCACATCTCGAATCGCACCTCACACTCACTACCATGGATATTGATCACGTTCCCACCGACGCCAGATCCAAGGAGGTTGTTCGTCTTTGGCGAGCATGGAGGACCATCCATGAGATGGTCGCGGACCGAGTACGTTTGTCCTAACAGTCCTATCGTAGACTTCAGAGAAGCGCGCAGCACTTCCAACTGTGTAACTTTCTGTAATAAGCACACGGCTGACATTTCAAAGGAATACGAGCTTGCTGAAGAGGAAGTCAAGATCTCTCTCGACCGCTTCCGCGACGAATACTGCAACCCCGACGGCTCCATCAAGTAAGATCGGCTATACTTGCGACATCACAAAGAAACTATGGAACTAACAGTTCGACTACAGCCGCGCCAAGCTTCAATTCTCGGCGCGTCCCAGCGAGAACATGATCCGCAAAAACACACCTCCCGTGACAGCAGCCAACCCCAACCCCAACCCCGGCGCCGACTGTGGTCCTGTCTGGGTTGAGTTCCTCGCCGATAAGACCTTCGGCGTCAACCAGATCCGACAATTTGCCAAATATGTGATCACGAACAACTACAAGACTGGCATCATGGTAACACACGTTCCTCTCTCACCCGCCGCCCGCAAGACTCTCCAGAGTGTCGAGTCCGTCGCTAAGATCGAGTGCTTCCTCGAGGATGATCTTCTTGTCAACATTACCCACCACGAGCTTGTTCCCAAGCACGTCTTGCTTTCTCGCGAGGAGAAGCTCGCTCTTCTCAAGCGCTATCGCCTCAAGGAGACCCAACTACCACGTATTTTACAAAAGGACCCTGTTGCTCGTTACTTGGGTTTGAAGCGGGGCCAAGTCGTCAAGATTATCCGAAACAGTGAAACTGCTGGTCGTTATGCCAGTTATAGATTGTGTGTATAGATGAACAATTATGGACGGGGCAGTCTTGAGAGATCGAGCCGAAGATGGGAGCTGTTGGATGGAAAGGGATGGGAAGGCTCATGGTACGTGGACGGAGGCGTCACACTGCACTTGAAATTCTAAAAAGCTGGCGTTTCAGGGGTTCTATGTATATTGCGCGTTGCCGCAGCAAAGCCAATGAAGGAATATTAAGCATTTACGAGAGTTACTCTTTGCCCTTTGCTCTGTGTAGGTAGATGCGAGGCTTGTAAATATCTTAATTATAGACTTGTTCTTCTAAAGTGACGGATGCCACCAGAGCTTTACATTATCCTGTAACCTTGCCAGCGCCGTGTCTCAAATAGGTGATCGTGTTGTCCGACCATTTAGGATATTCTCAGATATTGAACAAATCATGTCAATGCCATTAAACGTTAACTTGGCGTTTGCCGGGTATATATAACCAATAACCATGTCATCCTGACACAACCATGAAAATCCTAAGCATATCATAATGCAACCCGCGATAGTTGCGCGAATGCCTGATTTCCAAATCCTGTCTCGTATTGAGACTTCGCATATACCCAAGTAAAAGATCCCTGCGTGCGCATTACTCCTGTCCTGCCAACCAAAAATACAATCAAAGCCTGTGGCATAAAACGCCCCAGGCCGTATATAAATATTCCAAGCCAGGTCAAATAAATCCCATAAAAGTCGCTGTTGTCGTGAGGTAGTCGCATGTGAAAATGTGAAGATGTCGTCAAAGGTGATGGCAGATGATACCAAAGTTGATTGCCACTAGTTTAGAAGGCCACCAGGATCCCTCAGTTCTGCCACGGGCGGTCCTTGCAAATCGTATCGCGACTCCTGTCGGGATTGCGGTATCGGCTGCAACTCTGTTCCTCGGGGCTTGGACCTGGACCGACTTGACCTTGAATTCATAGGTCCAAAGAGGCCACCGAGGTCTTGGAGCAAAGCAGTCGAGCCACGGCGAAAGCCTCCGGATCCTGCTGGTAATGAAGGTGCCGGGGGCGAATGCGACAGTGTAGAGTCTTCCTTAGATGACGCACGACTGTTTGCTCGAAGGCTCCCAGAACTCTCGGGGGGCACATCAAGTAGGCCACCAACGTCGAAGAAAGAAACCCTCCTTGGTGCTATTCCGTTCTCACTTTTCGACTGAGAGAGTGGGTCGTGTTGTATCAGAGAATCATCGCTGTGCTCTGCGTTGCTGCGTTGCCTCTGAGGAAATTGCCAACGCTCGAGGTCTTGATCCAGTTTGCGAAGAAGAGGGGCCGGGGTGTATTGTAGAGCACCGTTCTCGCTCGAGTTATCAGGCTGATCCTGAAGTTCTGGATCAACGGTCATACCAACGTCCCGTACAAGGTCTTCATCGCTTCCCCAGTGTCGGTGCAACGTTGGGCGGCGAAGGTTGAGTGAGGGATCGAGGGACTCGGCCACAGATGAACGACGGAACTTTTGCTTCTTCAGGCCGCGATCACGCACGAAAGATCCCAACACGAGTGAGTTTGCCGCAGCCGTGGCAAAAAGAAGCTCAACCGACGCCAAAAGCGATCGATACTGCTGACGACCGTGATCATCAATGATATGGGGTACCCGATAAAGGGTGACCCCAACAACAGATAGACTGAGGGAAAAGAGAAGCACAAGCTGTATCTTCCTCTTGATTGTCATTCCGCTTGTCACAATGATCGGAATTGGGAAAATGACAAGCAACAAGTCAGTGACCACGTTGCAGACTGCCATCGTGAGAAGCTGCACGTATCCTTGACGGCATTGGCCACCAGGATCGGGCACAACCTGCCAATAGTGACTGTAGGGGCGGCATTCCACAAAGTCACTAATGACAACGGCGATGAAAGTAGCAACGAGGATTATTCGAATGACATATAAAGACGTCTGCCATGATCGTTCCCACGTCGCTCGAGTCAATCGGTGAAGGAACTCGAGAACTGCAAACTTAAGTACCCAAAGGCTATGGCCCGTTAGCGTTAAGTTCCACATTCGCATTGCCTTTTGAAGAATGCGGACTGTGAGTAACATTTAGTTAGAGAGGTACATACGTTGCAGCGTAGAAAATCCGACTGGCGAGCACAAGGCCGCTACCAATGGCTTTTTGACGTAATTGAAGGTCAGTAAGCTCAACACCATCGAATTGAGCATTGTTGGTTCCATATATGAGAATGAAATGAACGCATGCCATGCGTGCATACAGAGGGATCAAAGCTAGGGCCGCAACACGATCTTCAGTGAATAGCCGCTCGGTGCGGATAAAGCGGCCTGCAAGCCGTAGAAGGATGATGAGGGTACAGAATGATGTCGCCCACCAGCAAACAAGGAGGGTCGGTTTATCGAATTTGAATTCGCGAAGAGTTGGAGGTTCTGAATAGAGAGCCATGATTGCATCCCCTGTCCGCGCCCGTCGTCCTCCGCAGAGGGCTCGACGAGCGAGGTAGTGATTAAACGACGAAGGTTAGAGCTTGGCCGGGGGTATCGATATGGTCGTGGTGGGTGGTCGAATATGTCGTGGTAGGGTGCCAGGAGTCGACCTTGAGGTGTTTTGGTGATTTACCTCAACATAAGGCCGCCAGCGGTGGCACTCGAGTGGTAGTATTATCGTTTCAACGGGAGAAGAATGCATGAAAATCGTAGACTCGTCGCTTCGTGGAAATCGGTATCAGCTTGATATATCGACTATAATCGTGATAGTCGGTAAAAAAAAAACAGGAGCGAAGCCTTTTGAACAAGTATCGATCAAGCTTGTAGTTATTATTTAAAGATGCAATCGTGGAGAGGCCAATCCAGAGCCAAGGTAAATGCGCAATACCGTGGGTGATGCAGGTCCAAGATGCATTGGTGGATTGTTCGCAGTTGGTCGAAGGATGAACCAGCAGGCCGCGGCCAGGTAAGGAAGAGACCTGGAGTAGTATTAAGACAGCAGAGTAAATGAGAAAGCAGCAGGTCAAGATAAGAGGAAGAGTGGAGGCAGACAAGGTGCGGCTGGTCTCAAGATATTGCGGAGGCGAGCGAATGTGGGCGAATCGACTTATCCCGGTTGGCCATCCGGAAGGCACAGTCAGCTCCTGTAGCGTTTTGATGGGAGAGTCTTGGGATTGCACAGCGTACACTCACACGAGCCTATCGCCCCCAAGCCCATGGTCCGTCATCAGTGACCCTGTGCGTCCTTGGAGGGAGGGGCGTTGGCCACAACCATGTGGAGTTCCAGAATCGAAATGGGCCAGACAGACATAACGAGACAGGGGGGGTAATCAAGCATCCAAAGCACCGGCGGTCGTCTTTGGCTTTTGCTCCACTAGTGCTGGGGCTGGACCGATGAGCATTTTATAGGGTCCTGATGCAGGATCTTTCAGCTAGCGCGCTTGGGGTTCAAGCATTTTGGACCTTTGATACCTGGCTCGATGGCGACTCAAGATGTTGATTATCACAAGCATGGTAGTATGAAAGCTTTCTGAACTTGATGATTAATCTCTGAGGTGCAGCCGAATTAGCAGACAAGACAAACAATAACCACGGATGCCGAGTCTATGGCATCAAGGACGTCGAGTCTTGGCATCCGCATTGAGACAACGATTGGGGTTGGGCAGTCAAGCCAAGACAGAGAAGGAGGGAGAACGACAGCCTAGTGAATAAATGGCTTAGGCGGCCCAGCAGACAACGATGCTGTACCGAGTTAACACCAACAGCCGAAAGCTAATGATAAGAGAAATCAAAATTGATTGAGTAGAGGATATCGACTTCACATAGCCACTTCAGGTTGGCTTCCACGAAGTAGCAGACACTACTGATGTGGATGGCCGAGTCATACTAGGTATCGCAGCACACGAAACATAGATGCCAAGGAGGGCATCAAGCTCTTGCGAGCGAGTAGACATGTTCTCTTGGGATGCCATGCTGGTATCAGTGAGCATGGCGAAAAATGAATACATCATTGACAAGCAGTTTAATTTCTGACCCCCAGTCGGCGTGGTTGCGCAATATCGGCAGTGAAGCATTATTGATATGGAAGGTCCCCTTCTCATTGAGGTGTCAACTCTTCAGGATTTTGCTTCATAATTTCAAATTGCAAGCAAGGCTCCCAGCCTATTCGCACCTCCTGGCACAAGGCACAAGGCGGGACTAGCCAGTCAGCCACCAGGCTTAGTAGTAGTGCTGAACTCAAGAAATTCAAGCTAGTCATGAGAATACCAGGCTGTCAAGGACACAATGAACTCAAACGAGTACAGATTCCCTAACGGCGTTGTGGCGTCCTCGTGGTGAGTGGATTGCGGTTCCGTTGTCGGTCACCTAGCTGGGTGATAAACATAACCGTGACCGTGGCCGAGCCGCCGAGGTCTACCATTTTTTCACCAGTTGAGAGTGGCTACTAACTCGCTGTTTCGTCAACGAGGGATTGCTTTAAGCCTAACAAGGGTTCGATGGTGACAGAATACAACAGTATCGGTCTGGATTCAACAGCGATTTCACGTGTCTAGTACGGAACTGCCCGATACGTGAAAGGAGCAGCGGAAAGGTGTTACCATCTTGCTGTTGTGGCTGGACGCGATTCCATGTCGCTTATCACGGCGCCCAGGTTTGGCTTCCGCTGACTGGCCGCAGCCATTCCGTCGTGGGAGTGCTTGATCATGAGCTGTTCTTTTGCATTGGCATTGCCGTATCCGATGTGATAGTGACATCTTCGTAGACTTGAGTTTGCTGGTCCGATGCTGAAAAGCGGGCAAAATAGACCGTCCAATATGAAGCTCGCATTTCCCCCGGCTTTAGACGTTGAAACAAGGGTCCAATCGAGCAGCCAGCCGCCCATCAAGGAAGGACATGTCACATCACGCGACAACGTGGTTGCCAGAATTGATAAGAGAGGCATATGACCCCCCACGCACGTTCAGACCCTCCTACTGGGACTCTTGGAATGATGTGGCAGGTTCATGTGAAAGTCAAGCAATTTCATGATTGAGAGAAAGCATCTCGAGTCGAGTTGAGTTGGT